ATTTTGTTCCTATATTCATATATCCAACATCTCGACCAGAGAGTGAGACAAAATAATATAACTATCCATATGCATTGATTCTACAACTCATAATTGCACCCACACAATCATCTTTTCTCTATGTTTTTAAAATGCGTGTACTCTATATTCTATTTCATGAACAGAGGATCCAAACTTAAGACGTCTTATGATTTCACTTAAGACAAAGCATATATAAGATTAATTTGCTACAACCATATATAATTTGCGTTAAATCCACTAATTATTTTCAACATATCTTGTATGGAGCCAGGAAAAAAACCTGGATATAATGCACAATATTATATTAGAATAATCATGATCCATAGTGAGTGAGAGCGTGAAAGTGGAGAATAATGACACATTTGGTTTTGATTGGCGAAAAGGAGAATAATTGGGATTGATTCGGTGAGATTAGAATGGTCAAAAGGTAGGCTTGTTTAATTGAAAATAGGGAATTTTTAGAGGCAAAAAGTCAAATAAATTAAGTGTGTTCACGTTGATTGATTGATTGATTAAGCATTGGTATTATTATTATCACACCCCTTTTACACTAATCCATCATGGCCTTGAATTGAGGATTTTGGTCGCTTCTAACTTACTCTACCCTTTTGCCTCTTGAACCCACCTTTATCATTGTATTACACACAACCAAAATTTATTAGTTGCTTTGCTTAGCTTGGTTGTGAAAACCCTATATTAAATGATTAGGCAATTATAAAAAGTTGTTAGTCAGTGGTACTTTCCAAATATTTTCTCAGCTTCAAAGTGATTATTCACTTAATAAAATTTTTGTTCTTGTTTTCGAATAATCATTGTTAATTTGTCATCTTAGGATTCCACTCTCCCTCCTCTTTTTAAAATTTCTATCACTTTTGATGAGAGTATTTATTATTTGTTTTGTTTTGACATTACTTGTCGTCACTTTAGAATTTCAATAAGGCATTGAAATTTAAACCGCTTTATCCTTCATTAACAAAAGCAACGGCATGTGGGGTGTTTCTCTATAGAATAAAATGAGCTCAAAAAAGGAATTTTAATCAAATTGCCATTAGATCTTGCTGACTAAAAAATTAATACTCCTCCGGTCCTTATTATAAGACCCAATTTGACTTTTTATTTGGTCCTAATTATAAGACCCAATCCATTTTGTCTCTTATATTTATGCATTTTTTTCCAAGATAATCCTTCTAATAATGATAGTTTTAGCCAATATACTTAATTAGCAAGGATATTTTAGGAATGACAACACTTATTTATTATAAATAACCAACTTAACTTACTTCCTTAATCTTTTCAAATAAGTCAATTGGGTCTTATAATTAGGACCGGAGGAGTATTATATTTTCTCAATATGTGTACATAACTTTAAATGACATACGCGTGCGCGCGCAGAGATGGGAACAGTGATCAATCATGTATTAGTTCATACTTCAATAAATCTCTAGTTAATTATATTCTTGAAGGGAGATGATATATATATATATATATATATATAGTGATAGATATGAATTAATGAGGAAAAACTGATCATCCTAACACACTAGAAATGTTTCGCTTGTTTTCAACGGATATGAGTTTAAATTATACAACTGATATAAAAACTTCATCATTTGATAGATAATCTGTAAATATGGAAGTGTTCTTTAAGATATCAGACTTATCTTATTAACATACAATAGCGTAATCCTCTAAAAATTAACTTTACTAACTATTTGTAACATGTAAACCTGTGTTATTTAACATCATTTTGTCTTTTTCTAGAAAAAATAATTTCGAATTCCAAACACTACTCCTTCCATATTCAAGATCAGGTCATCATCAATTAAAAACTTAATCATGTCTTGTGTCAAACCAAAAAAAAAATCAAAAAGTAATTAAGGAGCGAAAAAGCGCCATAAGCTATCTAAATTAGCTCTCTCTCTCTCTCTCTCTCTCTCTCACACACACACACACACACACTCTTAATAGGTAGTTCAATTAGGTAAAACCGAAACGTAGGACCCTAAATAATGCCGAGTCAGATACAACATAAAAACATTGGACATGCCTAAAAATTCCCGTCGTAATTTTTTCTTCCCACGCATTATCTCATTTCATATATACTAATTTCACTCATTAATATAACAGCTAATTAAAAAATTAAATTTACTTCTAAATATAAAACTTCAATTAACTTGGTCTCCTTAATCTATAATATTTTATCTAAAATATTCCTAATAATTATAGGAGTTTCACCAAGAAATAGTTCTAATATATATAATTAAAGCTAGTAAATTACGGAAGTTACCATACATTTGTTACAATTGACTAACTTAGCTAATTTTATTAATATTTATAAATTAATTATCTAATTATTGTATTAAGGTAAAATGAGGACAGAAAACTTATGTCACCACCACGCTTTTGTATTTAGATTTTTATGGACTCCACATAAATGGCAAAAATACGTTGCTGAAAATGATTGGTGTGTGTGTGTGTGAAGTTGTTTGGTATTGTGAACGTAAAATCATCAGTCTCTTTCACGCTCCGATGTGAAATTACATGTGAGGTTGCGTGAGCTAAACGTACTGTGATGCAAAAAGTAAAAGATAAAAAAAGATAATTATATTCGTGTCATTGAGAGAATGAGTCGGAAATTAATGATTCAAAAGTCGAGGATTGTATTGGAGGAGTGAGTGTGGGGAGAATGATGAGATCAGCTGCCACAATGAGAGATTCTCGGACTTTGTTCTTCAATTTCGGGTCACCTCGCTCCATTTTGGGCCCATTTTAGTACATTCTAGTTTATGAGCCTCCAAGGCCTTTTGTTTAATTAATATAATCTCAGATTTAAGCCTTTACGGACATAATTGCATTAAATACTACTCTTCCGGTCCTAAATATAAGGATCTTTTCGTACTGTAATTTATATTTTGAAATGAGTTTTGTATTTAGGATCGGAGGAGTAGTTGGGAAAATTTTCTCATTATTTATATCTAAAATATCTAGCCATATTAAAATACTGCTCATTTACATCAAAGAATAGATATTTGCAAGTAAAACGTGGCATTGTTTTGCGACAAAGGGATGATAAAACAAATTTAAAAAAAAACGACTTTTTTAAAACAACTGTGAAGAACCCGTTCCGGCCCATACAAAAAAGCCCAAGCCCACGGTATGACCGACTTCAGGCCGCATATCAATGCGTACAAAAGAAACAATTATCCCTTCCTGTGATAACTAAATAATCCTCTGGTAAAAAAAAAAAAAAGATAACTAAATAATCCCAATAACTTCTTTAATCAAGGTGACAAGCTCAGAAAGTAACATTTCATATAGCTCTCTTTCATATCTAAATCGCATTCTACGACCCCCTACATATGCATCTTAGAGTCACCGCCTAATTAGGTGATTAACACTAATAACTAACTAATTGCCTTAGACTAATTCAAGCTCCCAATTGACATATTATATCGACTAATCTCTGACAAAAAGAATTAATTCCAGGTTCATCTTAGTAATTTTTCTTTTTATGATAGCGAGGTTCATCAGCTAATTAATAGAGTTTGGCATAATGTTTATAATAGATCTATGGAAAAATGTGGTTCTTAATTTTGGATGAGATCGTTCCGTGCCAACTTTATGAGTTGATCGTGATTTTATTTAGTGTTTAATTTCACCTTTAAAACAGATCGAAATTGTGATCATGAAAGTAATTAAGTATCACTTTTAGGTCTATTGATGCTTTTAATTAGATTCATTTAAAAAGTGCTTACTTCCTATATATATATATATAAAAGTTATTTGTACAACATTCTTGCATACCCAAAGAATGCATTAAAATCTTACACATTTGCCCTCTATAAAAGAAAGGGTATTAAAAAAACATGTTGTACATTTTCTCTCACCTATGTTTTTTACTCTATTCATTAGGTATGAGTAAAATTCAAAAAAGATCATAAATTGCCCTATAAATGACTTACATCTAAGAACAAATTTTTCTCCCACAAAAATAGCTTATATATAGAAATAGAGTGATATTCTTTTGGTCTTATTTATAATGTATTTTCAACATATTCTACACAAACAAACAAACAAAATTTAAACTGCATTAACTTTTTATTAAAATATAGTAACATTCTAACTTTATTTTTATTTAATATGTATATACACATTTGAAACAAATATAATTATCTACACCATAATAAATTAAGGATAAAAATAATATATTTATATTAAAAATTTAACAAAATGACTTATTTATAAATATGACAGGAAGAGGATGTGTTAAGAATAAAGTACTGAAAAAAAGCATTGCTGGGGAACGTGAATGCATGAAAGGTGGGCGGGAGATTGTGGTTATACATGTGGCATTATATGAAGACGTTTGACGTAAATGCTACTAAATGTGATAATTACTCATAACGAACTCTCCACTTGATTTTTGCCAAATTGTGTTCATACTTTCGCCCGCCTGCCCACTCCCTTTCATTCAATTAACAACATTCTTTATTGTTCTTGTTTCTTTTTTGCTCCCCCCCCCCCCCAAAAAAAAAGGCCGCTCTTTATTATTTCCTCTCATTATCAAATCATTCTATTCCCCTCTTTCAAAACACTTTCTATTTTGTGAATTTTTTTTAAAAATACTTATAATACTTTAAAATTTCAACGACTGTTCGACTTTTTTTCCCCTCTTATCCTTTATTGAGAAAAATAATTTAATGGAACTACAGCAGCTATATTCTTTTACAGGCTAGTTTCGCAACTTTTTCTTTTTAATCATTGAACGAAAATTTTATTAGTGAAAATGACCTACATCAGATTATTCATACCCTGTGTATAGAAAATTTGCAGAGAGTATTGAAAAAGACTTAAATCTTCTCCCTACATAATAGGTGTACAACTAACAAAAGCTATGTATGCTATAATCGCATAAATAGGAACAGCATTAATATATATATATAGAGAGAGAGAGAGAGGGGGGGGGAGAGAGAAGATAATGAGTTCAAACGACTTTCAATTACATTTTGAATAACCACTTTTACAAAGGAATACGAGCAAGGTAAAACGGCAAAAGTCCTGCAAATTCAAATTCTTTTGGGCTTCATCATCATATCATCATCTATCTTCTTCTAGGTTTGGATCCTCTCGAGATCTGTATATATAGTAGAGTTTTTGAAAAGATCCAACCAAGTGAGAAAAATGAAAGGATTAAGGGCATTGTTAACTGCCGAGAAGAGAAGAAGATGGTGGCGAAGAAACAGGACGAAGACCATGTTTGAGAGCAGCTTTCCAAACAACATCGATCCTATCAACATCGATGGCTCCAACTTCGTGATGGCTCCATCCTTCCAAACTGTGCACTACTCCTCCTGCATGGCATGCATGCACTACTCCTCTCTCCATTGTGTACTGCATTCATACATTTATTTACTCTTAATTATTATTGTTCTTATTAACGATTAACAAATATGATATAGAGTTGTGTGTATACATATATCCCTCATTCATAAATTTACTTGCTTTACACCCTGTTTCGTCCCTCACAAACAGACAGTTTATTATATTGTTATCTCTTATCGTTGATGCTCAACGATCAATACAAGAATCATTTTTCATTCTAGTTTTTGTCCCGTTCAATTTTATTATACCTACCCAACAGCTCATTAGAACCTGTTTGAATGGTTGCCTTTGCTTACTTTATTTAATTTTTATAGAAAAATAAATTATATGAAAAATCCCCATTGGCAATCACACATATGGCTTTATAAAACAGAGTTATATATATATATATATATATATATATATAAAGTGATTGCTGACCTCACAACAACCAAGGCCTTCCACATCCTCTGGTAATCTCATGGCAGCTAAATCACCGTAAGTGCAGTCTCTTCTGAAAGGTAAGATGGGAGGCACCACAAATTGATGGAAATGTGTTCCTTTTGGTGCCCAGCTCTGCTCTTTATATGTAATCCACTTACCCACAATCCACGTCTGAAATTAATTAACCGAATCTCAAGTCAAATTCATTAAACTTGGAGCATGAACTAGTGAAAGAAGTGGTCAAAACAAAATGGGTATAATATATTTATGCAAGGGTAGTACCTTGCAGTTTTGTGCTGCTTGATACTTTGTGACTTGTACAAGGTAGCTTTGGTATTCTGGGGGAGCTTCCTTTTGGATCTTCTGGAATCTATCAGCGGAAAGAGTTAACATCTGCAAATATTGTACCTCTCTATCATTAGTAGCCTACCAAATACCGTACCGAATTTAAGTTTTTTATTTTAAAGTTTTCAAATATTAAGTTTAAAAACACTGAAGGAGTTGCCACTTGCACAGCTTTTGTTTGTTTACAAGTAACCAGATTTTGAGTTTAAAAGGGGAAAAAATCAACCATGTATCTGGATGTAGCTTAAAGAGAATCATTTGGAGAAGATTTGGTGAACGAATGGACAGAAGAAGAACAAGGCATACCAGAACTCTGATTTTCCTTCTGCACAGGTAGAGGGCTATTACTCTTCCGAGTTTGGAAGTAGCTCCTGTTAGAAACACTTCTTCCACTTCTTTTGGAATTTCATTTAGTATCACTGCAGCTGTTAAGGTGTTTCCATGAACAACTCTGACTCTAAGGTTTGGATGCTTGTCCACAAAAAGCTTCCCTCCCCCGTTTAGAGCTTCATTCTGTTGAAAACCCAAAAAAGAAAAAAGTTATTTACATGTGTTTTCATTTTTTGCCTTTATTCAAAACTACAATGATATTTTTTGAAAAATTAAGCATGCTTTTTTCTGTCATCAAGAGATAGTTTAGGACCACCACCAAAAACTGGTTTTGATGTTTACTAGTTGCAGTAGATAACGGTGATTTGGAAAAAGCTAGGTTCTCGAAAGCCGACTAGTGGATCACATTGTTGATTTTTTTTGTATAGGCCCTTGTACAGTTGACACTTGCAAGATGGAAAAATGAATATTGTTAAAGGTAGCTTTAAAAGTGAAAGATCCCTGTTTCTTTAAATGAATTTTGTATGTCAAGTAACAAAGATGGAAATAGTTTTGTCAGGTATCCGAGATCTATTTACATTTACACCGATGCATTAAAAACCCCCAACAACCTCACTCAGATGACAGCAGAAGTTTCACGACTCAGCTAACTTGGATGAATCAGACCAGGGACAAAACAATGAAATATAAGTTCACAATACAAAACCTTGTTCAAGGCAGCCAGGCTGATGACTTTAACCCCAATCCTATCAGCCCTGAGAATGGCATCCTCTATTTGCTTATTGATTCCATCAGCAGCGAATGGCAAGAAATACTGCAAAAACAAATACAATACAGAAGTGGAAAAAGAAAAAGAAAAACTTTCAGTGCTAATCTTTTACAGCATCATTCATGTTCATAGTGGGGAAATGTAAAAAAATGGAAGAGATTTCTCGGACTAACCTGAAAGCCAAACCTTGGGACAGCCCACGTTTGGTGCAAACGACCTCGTAGGTTGTAAAAAGTGACCAAGAAGGTTTTGGACAAAAGCCACATTAGTATCAAAGATGTTAAGGCAATTGGCAAAAACGGGATCAAGAAGAACCTAAATCTGTATGGGAGAGAAGCAAAGGTACGTAGAGCGAATTGAACGTGCGTAGAGGATGAAACATCCACTATATGGACCAGGAACACAAAATCAGGTACCCGGCTATTTTTCCCTGCATTTAATAAACCTACATATTAGTCATTCCATTAGACTAAATTGCAAATTTTCGAATTGTATTTGTGCTCAGTTTTGTATTTCACGGCACAATAATATGTATGCCCGATGAAATAAGAAATCGCACATACTTGAATTCAAGCTTATTTCTTTATGTAATTGCCATGATTTGCTGTTGAGGGTATTGCCTAGTGCGTCAAAGAGGGGCATGAAGAGGCAGAAGTTAGTGCCTTTATCAGTGTGGTGCAGGCTGTGGTATCTGCATATATTTATCACAGAAAGCAAATGAATAAATTTAGCCATCAGGAAGTTAAAAAAGTTCCGGAATCACAATTGACCAAGTAATAAGAAACACATGTCCGAGAAAACTTATTTAACTAAGCAGCACAGAAGTTATTTAATCGCTTGATATTTACTATATAGACCCACTCTTCTGTCATTTGACTCAAAAAGAGACGCAAGACTGTTAGCTTCTAATTTCTGTCTCCCTCTCATTTCCCAGAAGAACTGTACAAGGTGGCAGTGGGCGGAACCGACTCGAAGGAGGGACCGTTCCCCTTTTTGGTGTTGAAGTTAATGCTACTCCTTTGATAGACCATAAAACAAGTAGAAAGCCAAGTGTACTCGCTTTCTGTTTTTATTTCCCACTTCAATTCGGATAATTAAATAGACGGGGTCAGAAACAGAGCGGGATAGCGTAACTTACGTTGGCGTGTAGACCACAAGCCTTAGAAGTGGAAATGCCTCGAACAGTTGGTGGGGGATAATTTCAATGTTGCTGTGGCCCATGGATCTGAGGAAATCAAAACCCAACACGTAGGCGTAGATCAACACCAAAGATCCCAATCCCAACATAGAAGCCCCAGCGATCGGAATTGCGATGATTGCTGTTAAAATGAGATGCTCCAAAGGCGTCGCATTCCCAGCTGTAAAATCAGCCTCCAAGTCAAGTTTCCATCAAAGATTTTGACAGAACACATAGGCCCAATGTGTCAGAAAATTTTCAAATTATTTGCAGCCAAATGTACGAAGATTTCGATGACAGATAATGATCCCGTGAAGAGTTGAAGCTGAACTCACACCGATCGTAAAAAAAGGGATATTTATTATCTACGCTCACTTTCTGGCGCACAAATTTCTATTTCAAGACATGAAATCTTTTAATTTTGGTTGTCAACAAATTCTTGTTAAATTGGACATGTTTTCCATGCACTAAATAGGATTTCAAAAATAAATTATATTATTTCTATCATAGAATGAGGTTTATGGCACACATCATTATGTTAGATTAAATCAATCGTCAATCACTCTATTTAATTCCTCTCAATTTAATAACCCCGATTAATTTGTTGATTAATTGTCAATAAGAAAAACTCACTCAAACTTTAAGAACTTATTAATAATAATTTAAGGTTCATAATTTATATCAGCATATGTGAAATATCCAGAATCTTCTGATTCTGTAGCTAAAAACGGTTTTTGGACGGATACGGAATAATCATTATATGTGGCGGTCGTTAATTCCTTACCTGTAATAGCCTGTGGCACTGGAGCTGCGTGGTGAAACGAATGATAATGGCGGAAGAGATAGCCTTCATGGAACTTCTTATGAAGCCAGTAATAGAGAGGCTCTGAGATTCCCACATGAAGAACCAGAGCAACAAGAAGACCCTTCACGTTCCACAGCGGAAGATCATGAAGAAACGGAAAGCAATAGCAGGCCATGGCGGCGATCAGAGTTTGAAGGATTAAGAAATTATCCCTGTTTCGAGACATGAAAGATGAATCAAGACAGTTGTTACAGAGAAAAAAAAAGTAATGGGGTTGAGGATTGTTTAAAAAGGGAGAATTACCAGTCCCACTCATGATCAATCTGCTTGAAATCAACACCTTGTTGAAGAATCCGACGGTTTCGAGTGAGAAAAAGCATGTTGCTATAAGTATTCCAGAAGACATAAGTCAAACCTCTGCAAACGTAGAGAAGAAGGAGATGAAAGCACCAGCTGAAATTGTTGTTTCCCTCATAGAATCTTTCGTACAGGACTTTGGAAACGAAAGGCCCGTATAACAGATACTACAAAAACAAACAAACACGCAGAGATTAACATGCAGAAACCCCATCTGAGAAGTGAGAAACAGCAGGACGAGTCCGAAAGAAGAAGGAAGAGATGAAGCAGCGATTGAATACCTTGAAGGCGCCAAGATTGCGCCATGGCCAAGTGGACAAAGGAGCAGTACTGCCCATTTAAGAGTATGGTGAGAGTTGCTTGCTCTGCTTCGCTCTGTATCAGAAGCCGAACGATAGAGAAGGCAAAAACAGGGAGGAAGAGAAGGGTGGTGGAAGGAGAAGTATTATTGTGGGGAAGTCATTGTAAAAGCAGTATATATAGAGAGATAGAGAGAGGAGGGAGCATTGAAGAAAAATATAGTTGGCGGTTTGGTGGACTGATGAGTCCCCACCGTGTATATATGTATGTAAATGACATACACCAGAGAGATAGGGAGAGAAAGTAAGGGGGGAAGAGTTCATTGAATAAATGGCTACGGAAGGAGGGTAGAGGGAATGGAGGAGGACGAGGCCATGGCCCATGGGTACCAAATTGCAGCCCAACTAAGAAATGTTGTATTCTACGCGTTCTGCTCCTTTCATGCCCCTTCTTTATCTTTTCTTTTCTGAATAAATCCTTTTTATGGATTTTGATATTTCACAACCAAACGCGTCCCCGAAAAAAAAAATACCTAATATAATTACAACTCTTATGCTTTTATCCTTGTCGTTAGTCAATTTTGATTCTAAATATAAGTAACTTATATTCTATTTACTGTTTTTTTTACTAATTTTGCCCTAATAATCATAATAAATCACTGTATAAAAGTCTTATATTTAGGACTAGATAAGGTCTTATATTTAAGACGGGAGGAGTAATTAATTAATTCTGACAGTATTTTGACTTCATGTTTTTTTATAAGGATAAAATTTAAAAAATTATTTATTTATTTAATGCTCTTGTTGGTATGTAAGAAATTCTTAAAAATAACTAACAATAAGAACGAGAGTGGTGTATAACCCTGCATTCTACCGTTGTCATGTATTTCAGTGGATGCTGCTTAAATATGTACTTAATTTTGATATTTTTGGCAAATTTTCTTTTGGCTCAATATTATAATATGAGCAAGTAAACATAACTCTATTGTTTTTGCCTTTTGGATTCTCATCCCCGTAAATTGATCAAATGATATTTAACATTTAATTCTGGGTATTATAAGGTTATTTTCTATTACTAGTAATGAGAGTATAAATAATTAGTCAGAGTTGTTTGATTCAATTCACATTAAATATTTCTATGAATACAATACCAATGTACGTACGTCTCTTCCGTTGAAAAAAAAAAAAAAAAAAGAGCTACGTGAGTATGAGCCATGAGAGATGGGATGGGTTGTGAAGAATTGAAATAATTTCTCAGTGCTTATTTACTTTTGCTAATTTGAATGTTTATTTTATTTCCTAAACATATCTTTTGTTTTACATTTTAAAGTATAATTATTACTTTTTTCTAATGAAATCCCTATTAAATGGAATGTATTAAATAGAGGCAGTTCATTTTTTAAACTAAAGGAACATTAATGGAGAGCAAATCTAAAGAAAATAATTTTTACATATTACACAATTTTTATAAGATACGAGTCTGATGTTGGCAAAAAAATGTGGCGAATATCTGTCTCGTTCTTCTTTTTTTTTTATGGCCAGCAAATACATTTCTCATTCAAACAAAGACACACACGCATCAACTAAATTACACTAATACACATGATGAGAGTTGATAATGACGCAAAAGGCACATGACATCACAGGTTTAATTATATTACTGCATCAAAATAATATAACTAAGTAATATTAGTTGCATGAAAAAAATAATAATAATGCATAAAATCGTATTAATAATAAGTCTGTCTTAATTATGTATATCGGGGCTTTTTTTCTTTTGACTTGAAATTACGAGAAGGAAGAAGAAATCAAAGTCAGAACTAACGGAGGCTTTGGCATGGGCAAGCAAATTCGGTTTCTCTTCCAACTAAATGAGATATAACAATTTTCTTTTAAGAAAAATAATTTTTCTAACCTTTAACCTCATAGGTACTTAATAAATTTAAAGATTAAAGAAGCTAAATAAATTATTTAATTCTAATAAATATTACACTATCTCTCTCAAATAATACTATGTGAGATTTTTTTTTTTCCTGTGTAAAGGTATCCTTTGTGGCAATCTTGTTTAAAATAATATCAGCACTAAACATGAATAATTTTTCTAGTAATTTTAAATTTATAGGTGTTAAATAGAATCAAAATTATAGTTTTAAAAGTAATCTTACAGTATATGAAATAAATATATAAACAAATTTATTTTAATTTACAGAAAAATATTTTTAAAAATCACTTTTCCTATTACCCAAACACCCCATGGTCGTGAAAGAGTATCTAATTGATGGTATAACTTTGATATTGATACACGGCATGTTGGAGCCGACTAATAAATGAGTACTCAAAACTGCTTCCTTCAATTAAACCAAAAAGAAAGTGACGTGGCTTGCATGTTTTGCTTATTTTTTATTTGCTTAATTATCTCTTTCATCTCCTGCTTGTCTATTTGATTGGGATTTGTTTTCCTTTTTAGAGTGAAAATTGCCTGTGATTCCAATGATTACTTCGTTTATTTATACTTTATACGTGCCCCTTTCAATTTCATTTGATAAAAATGTCTTTTTTTAAACAATAATTTTTTTTTAAAAATCCAAATCTAAATATAGGTGTGTTTAATTATTTTTCTAGTATTAGGAGATGATGTGTTTGTATAGCAAAACTGCATACATTACTCGTGGCCAACACCAAAACCTTTTTAAGATGAAGAATTTCAATAAGGTTGTCATTCTCACTATAAAACTTATATTATAAACTGTGAAGATTACTATTAAATTTTTTAATAATTATTTCTCTTCTGTAAAATTTGATTGTAATTTTTAAAGTTTACGTTGTGAGAAAATCAATAACTATTATCAGCTAGGGATATTTGGACTCAGCCAAAAAAATAAAAAAGCAAATTTGCATACGTTACATAAAAAGTTGACAAAGGGTAAATTGTGGGCCGCTGATGTGACAATACTTGGCTAATTATTTTTATTTCATTTTTTCCAGAAAAACATAAATAAATAAAAACTGCAGAAACAGAAAAATTGTAAATAAAAATCCATGATAATATTAGTATAAGTTTTGACAACAATTTTTATAAATCAATTCTTGCATGTAATTTTTTTATTTTAGCCATCTTTTTTTTGTTATTTTTTCTTTTTTCTAACAATTTATTGCTATCAAAGTATTTGTTTTAACTTATTAGTCTCACGTTTTTTCTATTTTTTTTTTATATGCCTGAACCATTAATCTTTATGACGCATGCTCCATCTTTGCCGGCTAAACTCGCTCCAAGTGGGTTTCTTAATAGTATTTTAAATTTTAAACATAATTATGTGGGCTCCTTATACATTACACAAAGTTTGCCTTATTCAAAGCATTATAATTTACTATAAATCTTATATTATCCCTGTCCTAAATATAAGACTCATTTTATAACGTAATTTACATTACAAAATGGGTCATATATCTAAGTACGCTACAAAATAAGTCTTATATTTAAAAACAAAAAAGTATTTTATAAGCAAAATCATTCTTAGCCTCTTTATTTTTATTTTTTGCCTGAATAACCTTTGCCACCTTCAAATGTTTAACGAGTTCCTTCCAAAACTCTCTTTAGATAATTCTCCTATCATTTATTATTCGTTGTTCCACTTAAAAACCTAATATCATATTACTTCTAATTTTAATTATAAGACTTTATTTATAAATTATAAATGAGTTCTTATAATTAGGACCGAAGATAGTATATAACAAGTTTAAAGTATGATTCTAAATTTAAGAATTCATTATTATAAAACAAATTAGAAGAATATATATGGGAATAACATACTTCATTCCGCCGATAAAATAACAATTGACTAACTGAAGGATAGTCTGCATGAATACAGATGTTCAAGGAGTTACTTGTTGGATTTCAAAAATAAAAGAGATAACCTATCTAATCATGAATTCAATAGTCAAAGAATCAGTCAGTCTCAGTCTCATAAAAAAGAGGTGGTTGGATTGTTAAGAATGCTTGAGGAGGCATATTCGCAACCACGTAAATTATGTAATTTAAAGCTTATTTCCATAGGATTAATGATCTATGCGTGACTGATGGCTAATTAGGGTTACATACACATAATAAATTAAATTTAAGAATAAGAAGTTGAATTAAGGAAACCAACCTATATGGACAACAAATTCAAATAGTCAGAAGATACAGAGAAGATGCATGAATCGGATGGCAAGGGGTATACTGGGCCGATGCATTAATTACATGCCTCCTTCCAGCTAACTTGTCACGCGAATATCATGTGTATATATGTGTGTGTATGCGTGTGTACATAATATTTCTTCCGGTCCTAATTATAAGAGCCAGTTAATTAATTTAAAGAGATTAAGAAAGTAAGTTAAGTTAGTTATTTGTCCTAAATAGGTGTTGTTTTTCCTAAAATATCCTTACTAATCAAGTGTATTGACTAGAACTATCATTTTTAAAAGGCCTATTTTGAAAAAAAAATATAAATATAAGAGACAAAGTATATTGAAATCATATATTTAGAATCAAAATAAAAATTAAATAAAATTTTATATTAAAAATCAGAGGTGGTACATATAATATATGGTTAGTCGATAACAGGTATATGTATCCATCATGTCAGACAGATTCCCCCTCCTATCCAGTTGCTCTTTCAGGACTCACCTGCTAAGTTTAGGCGCATATATGTGTATTTAATATAAAATCTAGCCAATTAATTTTAAAAATTATAAAAATTATTTATTTATATTTATTATTATTATTTAAATTAATTTGTCTTACTTATAAATTGATATATAATCTAATTATTTTATATTAGAGATAAGAGGGAATAATTAGTAACCAAATCAAATTATATGTAAATACTGTCTGATTTAGGTGGCTCCTGTTTGTTTGCGCAAATATAGGAGAATATCTAACAAGTTGCCCGGTCACTCCGAATCTCTTACTCGAATTTTTTTTTTTTGGGCAACCTTTCAGCTAAGTCAAAAAGAAGGTAAAAGAACTTGACATAGGAAAACTGGGGAAAATTCTCCTATTAAAAGTCTTACTGACTAGAAAAACTTGATAAATTGTTATGTACTGTATAGATATTCTATATACCAATTTTGTACACACATCATTAGTATTTTAGTGTGTGTGTATATATATATAAAATAGAATACCAGTATTCTGATCTAGGTCATTCTGACAAATAAATTTTTTGATGAGACTTTCCGCCATTTTT